ATCTTAAAATAGAATGGTCAGGTAGGGATTCTTGCCTTCCAGGAATCTGAACTGTATCTGGTGAATAGGCTGTAAAATTATGTACATGTAAGGCAACTCCTTAAGAGTCCTAAGATTTATGCCCTTTATTTTTCTATGGCTAATACGCTTATCTCCAGGGGAGTTCTGTAAGGTAGAAATAACAATTTATGTTGTATTTTCCTGATGCTTCTAGGCTATGCCAGGTAATCTCCTGGTATTGCATCTCCTAGCATTGAACTGTTTGCTTTCTTAAATTTCATGTTTAAGGTCTGTGTGCAAAAGAGGAGAAAGAGTAAACAGAGTTGGTCCTAGAAGAATTTCTTTTCTTGTGCTAGTTCCTTTTCCTCTGTTCCTTAGGTGATGGAAGAAAGAGCCACGGTCATATCTGTCTTCTGCTCTGCTGGCCGCATCTGTGGGAATGACACAAAGCCCCAGAGCTTGTTAGCAATGTCCCTGTGGAGGGAGCGATCTATAGCCTTTTTCTCTTGTGCCTTCTTCCTTTCTATCTATGTGATTCAGGTTTTGCTTTTCTTTTTTTTTAATCTACTGCTGTCTAAACTGGTCTTTCCAAATTTCACCTGAAATGTATAATACAACTTTGTTCAATATATTCTCTTCTCATAATTCCTCTGTTATTCGCCAATATACATCAATTACATCAAAATTCTACATAGTCTTTCCTTAAACCTTGAATACAATTACGTTAATCTGTGTAATTAATTCTCTTCAAGCCAAAATATCCACCATTGCCAAAGCCTGTTTGCAGCTCCTTCTTTTACACAGAATATCCCATAGCCTTCTAGTTGGTGTGCATTGGCTTGTGCTCTAAATTTACAAATTGGTATTACTTGGAATGAGCTTGGGTTAGCTAACAGTGATGGACAAACATGCGTTTCAACTGTCTGAAGCAATGTACCAAGCTGGGTGGTATGGTGCATGGCTGTTGTCCCAGAACGTGGGAGGCTGGGGCCTGAGGACCACTGCAGGTTCCAGGCTACAGAGTGAGTTCAAGGCCAGGCTGAGCTACATAATGAGATCCTGTTGCAAAATAAAAGAATGAAGAGAGAGAGAGCGAGAGGGAGGGAGGGAGGGAGAGAGAGAGAGAGAGAGAGAGAGAGAGAGAGAGAGAGAGAGAGAGAAACAGAAGAGAAGAAAGGGAAAGCAGGACATGGAATAGGAAAAGTCAGGAAAGCCCAGGCCAAGCTAAGCCAAGCAAGTAGGCAGGCAGGCCGGCAGGCCAGATACCAGTTAAACTCTTACTATCAACATTTTAAATTTTTGAAGGTAACAATGATGGGTAATAATAATGACAGATTTTAAAAATTAATTAATAATGAAAAAAATTGTGGATTTAACACGGTGATTTTTGTTATAGAATGTTCAGACAAACAGTATACCTGCACTGAGTGTATGATTGGGAGACAATTATGTAACCATTAACTAAACACTGATTTTTGGAAAGGAATAAGTTGGGAAATAGCAAACAACCTTAGTTCAAACACAGTTGCCTCCCTATAATCTAGTGCTTTTGTCAAAATCCTATTAGCCGTCAGAGTGTCTGCGTCCTCTGGTGCAAGACTCCATGTCCTCTTTGTTAGGGGACTCTTCCTCATATCTGGCAGGAGTCTTTTCCTGACTCAAGGCTTTCACAGTGTAGGAGGGGAGAGAAACTAGACCACAACTTCCTATGGTAAAGATTTGTAGAATATATGGTCTTTACTGTATAAAAAGTGAGACACAGTGGTAGATCAAAAAGATGGAAGATTTAATGATCTGAGCAAAGGTCAAGAGGTGTCCTTCACTGCCCTATCCAGGGCAGAAAACCTTTGAAGGATGAGATACAGAAAGCGAGGAAGTAGAGGAGCCGGGCATGCGTTCAGGAAAGGAGCACCGCACTGTGGCCAGAGCCTGAAGCGTGTGAAGAAAGTAAAGAGGTCCCAGATTACACTAGAAGCGCAACCTGGGGCCAAGGAGGAATGGGATTTGAAACCAGGCC